AATCCCCAACAACCATTGATCGCTTCTCCATTTTGTAATTTTGAGGGTGTTATAGAATGAAATCATGCAGAATGTAAGCTTTTGGATTGGCTTTTTTTAACTCAACAAAATATCCTGGAAACCCTTCAAAATTGTTGCATGTAACAAAATAGTTTTTTCCTTTTTATGGCTGGGTAGTATTTCAGTATAGATGTACCAGTTTGATTATCTGGTCACCCGTTGAAGGACATTTAGGTTGTTACCAGTTTTTTGCTATTACAAATAAAGCTGCCATTAACATTTGTATATAGGTTTTTGTGTGGACATACTTTTCAGTTGTCTAGGATAAATACCCAGAAGTGCAATTATTACTAGGTCATATTGTATAAGATGATGTATCATATTGTATTAAAGGATTCTATGGGCAAAATATTGAACGACCCAGGAAGCATGAAAAGAAGATGGAAAGAATACACAGAGTCACCATACCAAAAAGAATTGGTCGATGTTCAGCCATTTGAGGAGGTAACATATGATCAAGAAGTGGTGGTATTGAAGGAAGAAGTCCAAGTTGCACTGAAGGCACTGGCAAAAAACAAAGCTCCAGGAATTGACAGAATACCAATTGAGATGTTTCAACCAACAGATGTAGTGCTGGAAGTGCTCATTTATCTATGCGAAGAAGTTTGGAAGACAGCCACCTGGCTAACCAACTGAAAGAGATCCATATATTTGTGCCCATTCCAAAGAAAGGTGATCCAACAGAATGCGTAAATTATCGAACAATATCATTAATATCACACATAAGTAAAATTTTGCTGAAGATCATTCAAAAGCAGCTGCAACAGTACATTGACAGGGAACTGCCAGAAATTCAAGCTGGATTCAGAAGAGGATGTGGAACGAGGATATAATTGCTGATGTCACATGGATCTTGACTGAAAGCAGAGAATACCAGAAAGATGTTTACTTGTGTTTTATTGATTCTCCAAAGGCATGTGGCTGGGTGGATCATAGCAAATTATGGATAACATTGTGTAGAATGAGAATTCCAGAACACTTAATTGTGTTCATAAGGAACCTGTACACAGACCAAGAGGCAGTTGTTCAAACAGAACAAGCGGATACTGAGTGGTTTAAAGTCAGGAAAGGTGTGTGTCAGGGTTGTATCCTTTCACCATACTTATTCAATATGTATGCTCAGCAAATAATCCCAGAACCTGGACTATATGAAGAAGAACGGGGCATCAGGATTGGAGGAAGACTCATTGACAACCTGCAATATGTAGATGACACAACCTAGCTTGCTGAAAGTGAAGAGGACTTGAAGCACTTACTGATGAAGATCAAAGACTACCTTCAGTATGGATTATACCTCAACATAAAACTAAAAGCCTCACAACTGGACCAATAAGCAACATCATGATAAACAGAGAAAAGATTGACGTTGTCAAGGATTTCATTTTACTTGGATCCACAATCAACACCCATGGAAGCAGCAGCCAAGAAATCAAACGACATATTGCATTGGGCAAATCTGCTGCTAAAGACCTCTTTAAAGTGTTGTAAAGCAAAGATGTCACTTTGAGGACTAAGATGCACCTCACCCAAGCCACAGTATGCATGGTATTCAGTCGCTTCATATGCATGAATAGGGAATACCGAAGAATTGATGCCTTTAAATTAGGGTTTTGGCAAAGGCTATTGAATATACCATGAACTACTGGAAGAATGAGCAAATCTGTCTTGGAAGAAGTACAGCGAGAATGCTCCTGAGAAGCGAGAATGGCAAGACTTCATCTGATGTACTTTGGACATGTTATCAGGAGAGACCAATCCCTGCAGAAGGACATCATGCTTGGTAAAGTAGAGGGTCAGCAAAAAAGAGGATGACCCTCAGCAAGATGGACTGACACAGTGGCTGCAACAGTGGGCTCAAGCATAACGATTTTGAGGCTGGTGCAGGACTGGGCAGAGTTTCGTTCTGTTGTACATAGGGTTGCTATGAGTCAGAAGTGACTCCATGGCATATAACAACATTGTATAAGAGACTGCTAGACTGTTTTCCAGAGTGGCTGTACCATCTTACATTCTCACCGGCAATGGATGAAAGATCCAGTTGCTCTACTTTCTCATCAGTACTGAGTATAATGAATATATATTTTTTAATTTTAGCTATTCTAATAACCAAAACCAAATCAGTTGCCCTTGAGTCAATTCTGACTCATGGCAACCCCATGTGTTACAGTGTAGAACTGCTCCATAGGGTTTTCTTGGCTGTAATCTTTACGGAAGCAGTTCGCCAGGCATTTCTTCCATGGAGTTACTAAGTGGGTTTGAACCACCAACCTGTAGGTTAACAGCACATCACAAACTGCTTGCGCCATCTAGGGACCTGGCCATTTGGATAGGTGATGACAATAATGTTGAACATCTTCCCATGGGCTTATTTGCCATCTCTTTGATGAAGTGTCTATTCAAGTATTTTGCCTATTTTCTAATGGAACTGTTTGCTTTCTTACCATTGAGTTTAGCGAGTTCTTTATATATATATTGCATAAAAATTTTTTGTTGGATATGTGATTTACAGATATTTTCTCTGTCTTTCCTCTCCCAGTCTATCCTCTTAACATAATTAACAGAGCATATGTTTTGAAGTCCAATGTGTCTTTTTTTTTTTTTTATATGGAATGTGCTTTTGGTGTCATGCAGGGAGGCTGGCTGGGGACCTGTTAAGTAAACAGATTGTAAGCTCAGGGTGGTCAGGGCCTGGGGTCTCTCTTCATTACTGTATCTCAGCAGTCATCAAGGACTTTTTGCATTAAACGTTTTCAAAAATATTGCATTAAAATATTATTTTGATTACAGTACTTACTTAGTTTTTTGGCTACCCCCTTAAATTTTGTGCCCAAAGCAAGTACATCTCTCCTCACACCCTAGATGTAGCCTTGCCCAGGCCAACACGCAGTGCCCGGAACACACTCTGTGTTGGATAGCTGAATGAAGGGGCCTTGGTTACAGGAGGGAGGGGAGACACAGAAGGGATAGAAGGAACAGAGAACAGTTTCATACATTTTGGGTTTGAGGCACCTGAGGTGGACTTATGGGTGGAGCTGCCATGCACAGTGGAACTGCAAGGGTCAATCTGGCAAACACTTGGCTGTTGGATTGCGTAGCAAAAGAGTGGTCTTATATAAGCATATCATCCCAGGTTTACCTGACAGACTAAACGTGTGAACCATTGTCAAAGGGTGTCTGAACTCCCCCTATCTTGTCTTTACAAGTTTGGCACTGCTGGACACGGGGATCCACCCCTGGTACTATGCCTGCACTGTCCCCCCTACTCCCTGTCGCTGATCATTACTCCTGCTACAGGAGCCTAGCCATTCTGAGGACACCAGTCTGAAGGCTGGCTGTGCCAAACCTGCCTCTTTGGGGATGGAACCATGCACCCCTCTGCAACTTCTTTCCAGCTTTCAGGCCAGGGCCTGCAGCCGGTCAAAGGAGGTCCAAAAATACTCCCTGAATAGCAAACAGCTGGGTTAAGTGAGGGAACTCCTTCGAAATGATCGGGCAGCCCTCGGGAATGATCTAACAAATATCGACCGTGCAACTGAACTAGATGCTACAAAGCTCTGGAACAGAAACCAAGAATAGCCAGTCTCTCTCCACCCTAGAGGGGAAGACAGTCAAAATAATCACACAATTTTGTGATTGCAACAGTTCGGCTGTGTTTAAGAGGATCAGGGAAGACCATGCAAGCTTGGATCGGTGAAGTCTGAGATGACAGAACAAGCAGCTAATAAAATGTGAGCAGCCCTAAACACTGGAATGGTGGGAAGAAGTTCTGAGGCTGGATGGGAAATTGAGATTACAGTAACCGAAAAGCCAGTGTTGCTAGAACAAGGGGAGCAAAGGAGAGGAGAGACAGGTAAAGCTAGAGTAGGTAAGGTTAGCATAGGTAAGAGCCACCTATAGTAAAGATTCTAGTTTTTGAGTCTGGGGAATGAGAATGGTTTTCCATTCTTAACAGATCCTAGACATATACACTAGACTTTGGTCAGAGAGCAAATAAACCTGTATTTTACTTGAATGGTCCAGTCAACAGCTCCTCAGACACTTCAATGAGGCTAATGGGCTCATTTTAGAGACATCCATTTTTCAACAGAAAACTGCGAACAAGAATTTGTAGACAGCAAATCCCCATGTACCAAACACCCAGCTTCAGCAGTTACCACCACCAACCTTGATTTATTCCTAATCACATTTAACTGTGTGCTTTGAGTTGATACAGTCAGAATGAATGTTATTGCCAAATTTATGACATAAAAACAAACAAAAAAAACCCGCTGCCATCAATTCCAACTCACAACCACCCTATAGGACAGAGCAGAACTGCCCCATAGGGTTTCTAAAGAACAGCTAGTAGACCTGTGCCACCAGGGATCCAACCTATGACATGAAGCATTTAAAAAGACCAATCTTGTAATACCTGGTCTCCCTTCTCCAGAAACTTTTGCTGTTTTCTGCCTCAATTTGCCTGGCACACACTTCCATCACCTTCAGTCTAAATCCTCCAATGCCTAAGTTTCCCTATTTTAAGCAATAGTCTATATACAGAATTACAACACATATTCTGACACCTTTGAATACTTGGAAAACACTACAGCAGGGAATGTCTAAAAATGATCTCAATTCCGATTCTTTGAAACTCTGTACTAGAACTGTGAACTTACTTACTCCAGATTTCTATCTGCCTGCCTAGCTATCAAAAGTTTCTATACAAGTGAGCGGGTTAACGCTTTGTCCTAGTTTATGAATCCCATTTCTCCAGAGAATCCTGAAGTAACTTTGTTTTCTTAAAACTGGTTAAGTACACAATGCTACATTATGGTGCGGTAAGGAGTAAATCATAACAATTGTGAGGACGGTGCAGTGTTTCATCCTGCTGTACACAGGATTGCTATGAGTCTGGACCAACTGGATGGTACATAACAACAAGAGGAAATAAGACACAAGCATTTCTGGCATATGAAAATTTATTACTATCACATTTTCATCATCAAAACTTATGATCTTGGCCTTTCCTTTTTGCCTTTGTATAAGGCCAAAAGAGAGACGTTGGCTACTTTGACAACCTTAAAGCGGACTCCAGGAATGTCACCAACAGCATGACCTTTGCGACCAAATCCAGCAACCAGAACTTCATCGTTTTCCTGGAATAAAACGAACAATTTACTTGTAGTGTCAGTGGCAATCACTAAAGAATAACCATTCATGTAAGAAAACTCCCATTCATATAAAAAACGGGGGGAAATCACAACAGAAGGTACACGTAGATTAATTTAGCTGAGATATTTACCTCAATAAAATTCAAGCAACCATCGTTGGGTACAAAAGCTGTGATTTTCTTGCCATTCTTGATCAGCTGGACTCTGACACACTTCCTAATGGCAGAATTTGGCTGTTTGGCTTCAACCCCTCTGAAATATAAACAGCAGAGTGAGCTATCTAAAATTGTCAAAGTCCTGTAACTTCAACCAATTTTTAAAAACTTCAGTATTAGTTAGCTTAAGAAATTTCTAGCCTCTTTCTAGTACTCGTAAAGATATCTGAACTACAGCTAGAAAGTCTGGGTTTAAATCCTGAATGCCACTAAATTTGATTGAACCATATGAAGTTACTTTTTTTAGTCAAGGTCAAATACTGGCAAATTCATGTGGTTCAACAGTAACAGAATGAGCTCACTGAAGTCACTGTAGTTTTCTCTACTACAAAATAACAACAGTTCTTGTATCATAATGTATATGTAACGAATAAAGAACTTCTTTAGAATAGTTCCCCCACATAATACATGTGCCTTCACATCACCAACTCCTAAATATTGAGGATTATGCAAACAAATATGACTACACAGAAACCTATAATCTGTATAATAATCCCTCCAAAAAGCATTAAGTATATTTGTCCCGAGTTACTATAAAAAAACAACTTTGACTTACACTTTTTCCAACACAATTCCCTTTGCGTGGGAAGCGCCTCCAAAGGGATTGGCCTTCAGAGCTGTGCCCAAATGGGCTTTTTTGTACTGTTTATCATGCCACTTCTGGTCCCGTCGGTGGCTACGGAGCTTCCTGGCTGTACGAAGACCTCGACACTTGCCTAAAATTTAAAAAAGAAATCACCTTGGTTCCTCTACAAAAAACACTTCACAGAGTTAGTGTCCATCTACGGTGACATTAGCTTCAAGACATGTACATCCTCAAGCCTGTGGGCTCTTGCCGCACATTTTGGCCTACAAGACAAACCTCAGTTCCTCTAACCAACCAACGTTAGAAAGAACACAGGCGCTCCAATCGCACACTTTAAGAAAGCCCCACGTCAATGCTCTGAGGCAGGGTCGCCAGCCTTGTGCCCCTCGGTAAGGCGAGTGAGAATGTCCGCTGGCCTCCAGACCGCGTGAACTCCTTCCGCGCCGGGCCGTAGGCCTGTAGAAACGATGCTTTCCGGGCCCTCTCTCGTCGGGCCTCCCCACGACGGCCTCCTTCCCTGCTCCGCTCCCATCTGCCCGCCCTCCCGCACCCAAGACCCCGAGTCCCCCTTGCAGCCCCCTCAGTCTGACTACAGACAACTCTCACCCATGCTAGCGGTACCGCAGCTCCAAGGGAAAGAAAGAGGTAGGACAGGAAGGAACCACAAGCCACCGCGAGAAAGCCCCGCCCAGTAAAGGACCCCGTGCAGCTGTCTGCCCAGCGCCTGTTCCAAGTTGGCGTCTCTCGTTGGAAAAAGACGAGTTTGTACCACTCTCCTTAGCCAGAATCTGCGTATTATTTAATTTTCATGAATTTCAGAGAAATATAATTTGTATCGTTCTTTACAGGTGTTTCTTTTTTCAAGTGAATGCCAGGGTCAGAAAGAACGTTAACTACCAATCCCAGAAACCTTTGCGCGAGATCCGCTTACCGCGCAGGCGCTCTCGACAAAACCACCGGAGAGGAGCGGGGAGGAGGGGGAAAAGGGGTGGAGGCGGCGTGCAGGGCAGCTGGGGCTTGCGAAGGAGTCGTCGTTGGTCCGGGCCGTAGTGTGGTGGAATGGCGTACCTCTGCATACAGTTTGGAAAATTAAACTTCTGAGCCTTATACTCGCACGCGGCATAGTAAATTGTAAAATTTAGTGAAGCAGCGTGGTGTAGTAATTAAAGACCCAAGCTTTGGAATCAGGCAAGGTCATAAAACCCAGTGTTGCCGTTTACTGGTTGTGCAAACTTCGGTGATTCGTTTAACTTCTTTAAACTTCAGTTTCTCCTGTAAAATGAAATGGGTATGAGAGTTTTCTGGGATACTGGCTTATTAAACAAGTACTTAAAAAAATGTTTTCTCTGTGCCAGGCATTATTGCGATACAGCAGTTAACAAGAGTGAAGATTTTTGCTCTTGCAAGGTTTGTATAGTGGGTGCAAGAATAGGCTCCAATATAGCAACGATTATGAGGATGGCACAGGACTGGGCAGTATTTCTTTCTGTAGTACATAGGGTCACTATGAGTTGGAACTGACTCCATGACACCTAACAACAACAATAAAGTTTATATTTCATAGTTGGGGAGACATAATATGTAAGTAAATCTAAAAATAATTTCACATTTTAAGTGCTATACAGAAAATATAATTGGTTAGGTGATAGTCGCTTGGGGGGTGGGAATGTGAATGGCTGCTCTGAAATGAGTGGGTGTAACGCTCGTGTCGCAGTGGTTAAGAGCTCAGGCTGCTAACCAAAAGGTGGGCAGTTGGAATCCAGCAGCAGCCGCTCCTTGGAAACCATATGGGGGCAGTTCTGCTCTGTCCTGTAGGGTTGCTGTGGGTTGGAATCAACTCAAGGGCAATAGGTTTGGTTTTTTTTTTTGAACATCTGTGATTACATTTGAGTTGAGATCATAAATAGAAGAAGCCAATCAAATAATTAGAGAGGGTAGGACCTCCCAGGAAGACAGATTGTCAGTAAGTAGAATGGGCTGGGTCTTCTCAAGGACTTAAAAATCAGTAGATTAGTGGAACCCAGCAAGCCAGGAGTAGTGTCCACTAGATGAGGTCTGATAGGACCAGATAATGTGGAGACTACATTGTAGACTGTTTATTCTTCCTGTGATTGAATGTTATTGGAAGGTTTTTTTGGGGGGAGGGGTTGGGAGTTACGAATTAGGATTACATTTTTATAGGCTCTCTCTGTGAGGAGAAAAAACTGAAAGGGTGCAAAAGATGACACTGTGAGGTCATTTGGGAAGCCATTGCAGGTGAGAGGTGATGATGGCTTGGACTCTGAGTGGAGGTGGTGATGGTAAACAGGCTTTGCGAAGGACTGGAGAGTGTGAGAGTGGAGTTATGACTCCATGATTTTTGTTGTGAGCAATTGGGTGAATTGTGTTAATTATCAAGTGGGGAATACTGAGAAAGGAGCAGATTGTAAGGAGGAAGTTAAGAGTTTTGTTTTGGATGTACTGAGTTTGAGATGTTTGTTACTGTTATTAGGTGCCATCAAGTTGATTCTGACTCATACTGACTCTATAGGACAGAGTAGAAATGCTCATAAGGTTTTCTAGGCTGTAATCTACGGAGGAGCCCTGGTGGTGCACTGGTTAAGAGCTTAGCTGCTAATCGAAAGGTCAGCAGTTTGAATCTACCAGCTGCTCCTTGGAAACCATATTGGCAATTCTACTCTGTGCTATAGCGTTGCTGTAAGTTGGAATCTAGGGTCGGGATCAACTCGACAGCAACAGATTTAATCCACAGAAGCAGACTGCCACTGTTTTTTCCCGTGGAGCCACTGAGTGAGTTTGAACCACTGACCTTTCGGTTAGCAGGCCAGCACTTAACTATTGCACCGCCAGGACTCCAGATGTCTGTTAGACATCCATATGTGAGTATGCAGTTCAGGACAGTGAGCAGTGAAGAGATAGTACTGAAAGCCATAGCTCTGAATGAGATCAGTAGGAAGTGACATGACAGAAAGGCTGGAGACCTAAGACCTGGGACACACCAAAGTTTGGAGAGACGGCAGATGAAACAAAAGAGACTCGGAAGGCGTGGTCAATGATATACTCTAACCAAAGCCAAATGAATGCGATAGGAGTTACCAAGTGTGAATGGAGGGGAAGACTGACAACTGCCTTCTGAATTTGGCAATGTGCAGGTGGTTGTTAGATGCAGCAGAGGTGACTCTGGCTCATAGCAACCTCGTTTTTGCAGAGTAGACTGCTCCATAGGGTTTTCAAGGTTGTGAGCTTTTGGAAACAGATTGCCAGGTCTTACTTCCAAGGTGACTCTGGGTGGGCTTGAAGCACCAACCTTTTGGTTAGTGGTACTTAACCATTTGTATCACTTTGTCAAGTGGGGATCCCATGGAGTGGTGGAATCCCATGTGGAGAAGATGAAAACCTGATGAGATTGGAGTCAAAAAAGTATAGAAGGGAAGGAAGCCTAGACAGCAAGTATAGATAATTTTTGGAAGGAGCTTTTCTATAACATGCAGAGAAAATGTACTTTTTCTGGAGGAGAATATGGAGTTAGGATGGGTTTCTTTAAGATGGCAGGTATTATGACATATTTGTATCCTGATGGGAATGTTCCAGTGGAGAAGGAAAAATGGATAATTCAGAAGAAAACAGAGATAATTGTGGG